TGCAGGTTTCATTGGTTCCATTGAATAGGAAGAAGCAGTCACACTAAATTTAGAAATTAATTTTGAACCGGTGAAATAGCCATTAATGAGCAGGGCTCTATTTTTGGCAATGTTTGCTCAAGGGTAACATTTTAACTATTCACACTTTAGTTGACTTGTCAATGTTTTTGCAACTACCCACACTTAATTTTAGACGTATATGAAATAATCGCAGATCAATATAAATAGCTCGATGTTGATGCTCTGGGGTAAATGTTCAGAAGAGGGCTATTTTAGACAAAAGCAGTTCTTATAAAACAACCGTTTGGGGAATTATTCCCAGAATTACTGGGGCTTTTCTAGTGCATTTGCCCTATTGTTTTGTATGCAGGCTGCTTAAACACTCGAGGTGAGTCATTAAGGCAATTATCCCAATAATTCAGGCCACAGGACAATCAGAACACTAATGAAAAACTTCTCTGATATTTCTAGTTTTTTCTCTTGCTCCTTTCCTTTCTTTCTCTCTTCTTCTTCTCCTTCTTCTTTTCCCTTTCTCTTTTTTTTGGTTATTGCCCCCCATCCCCTAGGCTCTCCTTTGTCTTGTGTGGCTGTGGCCTTTGGTCACACGATTGGTTTTATTCGTATTTGTCCACAGTGTTGTAATCCTGCCTCAGAGTTCTTGCTTAATGTAGAAATCAAGCAAACGTTGTGCTTATGCCAGGCTTCGTTTCCAGCCCTCTGACACAGGCCACTGCTGTGGTTCTCAGAGAGCCCTTTACTAGTGCACACACAGTCCATCTCTCATCCCAGGCCCTGGCGGCTCTGGCAAAGAATGAGAACTCAGTCAATGTCATGACTTTCGGAAATTCTTAGAATCCAAGATAACTCTCTGAGCCCCTTGTCCATCCCTCGAACAGACCCTGTATCTGGCACACCCCCATGAACTTTCAAGGGGATATTCATAATCAAGTAAAGATATAGGAGGAACTCATACTGAGAAATAGGCTTCTTAGCAGAAAGCCCCGTCTTCTGTTTTATCAACTAGTAAAGCATCATTTCCTCCCCCTAGAATGGCCTGGACACATAAGAGAAGGAAGGGATTCCCATGAACACTGAAAAAAATGGATTAAGTCTGTTTCTCACTTAGGCCAACCTATTTCAGACATACTGGAAAGTCCTCTGTTATCACATCTTATTTCTCCATATACAGGCTTTTCTTGAAAAACATCTAATTGACTGGTGTTAAAAACCACCTTAACACCACCATAAACCAAGGCTTTGGAGACTCAGGCTGGGAGAGACTCTGGGTCTGCTGCAGTCTGGCCTGAAGTCCTCAGGCAATTTTCTAATCATCTTTGTGTCATGGTTTGCTGTCATTTCCAATGACCCACGGACGTGGGGGGTTGTTCTTCATGTCATCCGACATGTTATATCGGTGATGCTCTCGCTCAATATGTTTATTGTTAAATTTTAGAACAATAGAATCTCCCACCATACACATCAATTCACCTGCTGAAACACTGTATATACAATATATATTATCAATCAAGTCACATTTATATGAATCAGAGGTGCTGGCCATTAAAAGGACTACTTCTCTAATCCTTTTGTAAAGCAAAGAGTCATTTTGTGAAGGCAGTAAACACTTGATGATTTATCCTTCCAGGAAATTCTTGCTTCCCATGACATATCTGTACTCATTATTGAAAGGCATGCAAAGGCAAGGGATAGAATGGGTGGGAAAGTGAGACAATTATCCTACACACACACATAGACACACACAGTCACCTGCCCACTCGTGCACATGCATACACATACACACACACATTGATTTTCCCCAATAATCTGTTTTTTTCTGTTGAAAACAGTTTGAGGCCTGAGATTCTAAAAATGACTTCTGCTTTCCATGTAGAATGTGTACAGATGATAGAAGCCTGCCTTGTTTTGGAGCACTCTTTCTTCTATTTTTTTCCTCTTTCTGTTCCAATCCTGATGCAGCATGTAGAAAAGGCCTGGAATTCCTGCTTGTGAAAAGGCAAAATGTGATAAAAATCGAGATGTTCACTACACTCCACAGCATTAGCATTTTCAACGCTCCCGGGAGGATTTAGTGCATCTTTCTCCTTAAAGCAGGAGCATATCATTACCATGCTGCTATACTTTCTGCATTTTAAATTCTTAATTACTTTACTCTGGCTTTGTACTCAAAGTGCAAAAATGCCAACTTTTTGTATTTAACTCTTTTTATCCAAAACCCACCTGACCACACGAATACATATATATGCTGTTATAGAGTGTGTTTCAAACCTCTTTTCATTTAAATGCAATAGCTGATGTTTTTTTCATAGTAAAAAAGCCACAGTTGAATATTTTTCATAGCCATAGAGATAAAAATATTAACTCATTATTAAAATTTAATTTATGAACATTTTTCTTCAGATAAACTCAAACTTTAGGCAGTTCTGGCCGAATCAAGATTTACTGTCTTCCTACTATGTGAAAATAGCTATGCAAATGATTTTGAGTGATAAAGAGATGAATAAGGTACAGCTCCTGCCCTCAAGGTGCTCCAATGCAAGAGACATATTAGACATGAATTACAATATAACCTAGAATGGGATTGTTGCCATAGCACACAAAAAGGAGCAATTACACTGACTTTTTAAAAAAATATTGGGATGTCTTTGCAGAGGAGGGAAATTCGCGTTGCACCATGAGAGCTGAAAAGAGTAACCGTTAAACGGCGAGAAGACTAAGCGATTTGCTTTAATTTCCCCCATGAATTATTTGTTACTGATTAATTTGTAAGAGCAAATGTACCAATTTAACCATGGGTTCTGACAAGTAGCTTTTAAAATGAATTGCAGCCCCTTCATTTAGATGCATGAAACAAACAAACAAAAAAAGCCTTTTAAAAAATATTTGGCTTTTTTCTTTCTCCTTCTCTGTCTCTGTCTCTCTCTTACACTTGCTTTTTATCCAAGAATAGTTACCCAAGTCAGTCAGGCTTTTCTAACAAACTGGCTTGTTGCTAAATGTGTTTAAATGATCATGGGATTCTTGTATCTTTTATCATAGATTTCAATGGAAATACATGAGTTCAACTTTAGTGATAATAAATGAAAACCTGATCTTATTATCATGAAAAATCACCTTTAAAGCAGCACTCCAGCTTTCAATTCTGTTTGCTCTGAGCTACTTATTTTTCATTCCCTTTTAAAGTTTCTATTTAAACATATCTCTTTGTCACATGCTGATAAATATTAAAATACCAGGAAAAATCTGCCTGACTTATTTAAGCTGATAATAAGAACAAAACACAGGATGTGTGTGTCCTCCTTCCTTTTCTGGCTGTGGTTAAGCGTTAAGGAGATTTTGAAACCCATAATTACGTAATAATTGGTATCACTACATTCTCTTCCCGATGAAAAGCCAGAATTTTTGTAGTTTGCCACAAAGACAGACAAAAACAAATTGCCTAAGTGGTATTGTCATTTCTTTGCTTCATTGTTTTAAAAAATTTAGCAAACGAATCCCTATGCCAAGCTGTAGTTACTGTGCCAAAAATCACAAAATGATCTTTCCAACATCTCTGGCTAATGAGCTAATTTATAGAGCCATAAATATCACATATTCTCCTAATGTTTGTCAGTATTTATTACAAGAAAAAGAAAACAGTTTAAATATTCAAATTGATGTCAAAAGCTTCTTAGCGCATTTGGCGAACAGAAATGTGAGCAATGGTGTCTCACTGGTAAGCTAATATGATGAAATGATAGGAGTTTCAAAACCACCTCCTTTGATCTCCAGCTATGTAATACCAGTTATATGTTAAAACACTCTATTTAGTTTCCTTTTATCTAAAGGAAATAGTACATCAGCACACCATGTTTTTGAAGCCCCTGGACAGAGTACTATTTTCTTCTGTTTCCTAGCACAAGACTCTAGAGGCAAACTTACTTTTACTTAATATCTTCCTTTCACCTTGATTCTTGTTCTCAATCTTCTTTCTAATAAAAATATTTTTAAAAGTGTGTACCATAAATACTTCCGAAGCCAGTGAGCCAATGGAATCTATGTTTTTGTTCCTTTGTTTGTAGAAGTTGGGCTTTTATATTATTTCCGTTGTCCTCGTGGCTCTGATACCAGCAAGAGAACACAACAAGACGAGGAAGGAATATCGCTATGTATCAAGCAATGGGAATAGCGAAGCTGGAAAGACAGAAGTGTTCGAGGCAGTGCTGTTTGGTGTTAGGCAATCTCAACAGAGCTCATCTGACTTGTTTCTCCTGTGGTTTTACTCAGGTCCACCGCCACACTAGTGGGGACAGATTCAAGGTGGAAAACTCCGTTTTGGACTTGTAACTGGTTGCATCTTATGTCAAGCACAGTCACTGTTCAATATATCTCCAGGGGGTTCCTTCAGGGTAGCCCTGCCCCTCCACACCTCTCAACTCCCCATGGAAAGCATATGCATGGCACTGAAAGATGAGATGTTGGGTTTCTTAAAACACACACACACACACACACACACACACACACACATTTGAGGAACAAAGTTGGATGACCTCCAAGGGAAATGATTTGTGACCTGGAAAAGTCTCTGGTTTCACACCTGGAAAGGATGTAGATGCAAGCGGGACCTATAGCTGATGCTAGGAGGAAAACCACTAACATACCCTGTGGGATGCTCAGGCCAACCTGGGGGCCCCTCAGGGCCTTTGAAGTCAGCTGTCCTGGAGTTTACGGGGGCCAGCAAGCCGAGGTGAAGTTGCAGTATCAATAGAGCTCCTCCTGCCTCTCTTCTGGGAAGCCCTATTACCACACATCCATCACACCCTGAAAGCCCAGGCGTGCACATGATGGGACAAATAGTCAATAGTGCTTTTCATTTGGTTTTACATGGAATGAAGGAAACTCCACTATGCTTTTGAAAAAAGTCACCAGGAGACTTTAGAGGGCCACCATAAGCAAACCAGGGCTATTATCCTAAAGAAGTTTCCGCACAAATGGCACCTTGATTATTTTGAAACATGGAGCCAGGCCTCACAAGGCAGCTTACCTTGCAGGTTGACTCTGGAGACAGATGGCTGAGTAGCAGCAGCTGGGGACCTCCTGTGGAGACCAAGAGGAAAGAAGGCCTGAGTCTGTACGAATATCACCTCCATGTCTCCCTCCCCCCAACCCCTGGGATCACTGAGGAGTTTTCCAGGTCATAATGAGCTATCAAATGACATAACGCTATCTCCGGAAGGTGATGTCCCAGAACTGCAGCCCTCTCACAGCCAGATGGCCTGGAATTTTCCCTATGCACAGCCTCCTGGAGGCTCTCGGACTCTCCAGGAAGGAAGTCGTTTACTCCAGGTCCCTAACCAGCCCCTCTGTTGCAGGTTTCACTGTTCCAGGGGGCCCTCAGACAATATGCTTGCTCAGGAATAACACCAAATGTCAGAGTGGATCCCGATTCCTTTGGCAGCGCTGCAGCAAGTCATGCCAGAGGAGCCCTTAGAGACCAATCAGTCCAGGCGTTCCTTTTGCACCTCAGGAAACTGAGGCCCAGAGAGATGAAGTCAGTTGCCAAAAGTCACGCAGGAACAGGAATCCAGTTTCCTTAACCTCTGGAGTGGTCTTTTTGCAGAGGAACTGGGCATTATTCTACATTGTAATAAGCCTGCTGATGTCAAGAGTCCAACGAAACAAGCAAACAAATGCAGGCTCCATGAATACTGGGCCCCACCTTTTGTTTTTTGTTTTCCTTTTTTTCTTCTTTATCTCCCAATCCCCCCCCCCCCGCCCCGTTTTGCTGGTCTCACCAACCTTTTCATGCTTTGTAGAACTTCTGCCTAGCACATTACAGGAGAGCTTCCCCCAAATAGTCTAGAGCAGTGGCCCCCACACTGTAGGGTCATCAGAATCATCTAGAAGGCTTTACTAAGACCCACTGCTAGACCCAATTTCCAGGGTGTTTGACTGAACTGGCCTGGGGTGAGCTTGAGAGTGTCCATTTCTAAAAGTGTCCGGTGGTACGGATACTGCTGGTCTGGGGAGCCCATTTCCGGAACCACTGGAATAGAGGGCTGTCTGCCCCATGACAGAGCAATAGGATATTAGCAATAAGCAAGAGAGGGAGACGCTAGGCCAGTCAGTGGTTCTCAAGCATGGATGAGTGTCCTACTCACTTGGGGAGCTATTAAAACCATGATTCCCTTCCCCATCCCTGGAGAGGCTGGGAATCTGTATTTTTCACATAAATCTGTGAATTCTGATGCACAACCAAGTTTGGGAAGGAAGCCACGTTCTAAATGACAGAGAATGGCCCGCAAGGATATTGTAAAGAAAGGGTCTCTGTACCGGGATGGCCACAAGTTCTCGTCCCAGATCTGTAAGTACACCAAATCCATCTATGATCTGCGAGGGGCAATCTAGCTTCTAGGTAGCACACCTGATAGCTGCAGGCTCTGATGGACAGGGATCACACTTACTGAACATTTACTAGCTAGGTCATCCTAGGCAAGGTACCTTTAAACCCTCTGTGGCCTGACATTTTCTTGTGTAACAAAGTAAGAACGATCGACCTCCAATGATCACTTTTTTCCCTACTAAACATCATGCTAGGTACTTCTTAGCTTCCACTGGGAATATAATCATCTCATTTTAAGGAGAAGGAAACTGAAGCAGAGGTGAAGAGGTTAAGAAACATGCTGAAGCACACATGGTTTATAATTGGTGTGGTTGAGATTCAAAGCTAAGTCTTTCTGAATCCAAAGTGCATTCTCTTTCCACTATTCTATCTGCTGATAACACCTGCAGTCATACTGAGGGCTGTTTTTCAGGAAAAGTAAGAGATTAAATTCCAAACTCCTTAGCTTAGCATTCAAAGTCCTCTCTGCTCTTTGGCCTCAACATACTTTTCCCAGCTTATCGGTTGGAATTCCTGACATTTCATCTCAAACAATTGACTGGCTGTTTGATCTCATGTATCTTGTGCTTCTCCTTAATAGCACTTTAAAATTGTAATTAAAATAGACACTAAGTAGTGTTCAGTACAGAACTCTGTAGTTTAAATACAAAATTTATGCAGGCAGGGAACAGCTTGTTTACTACTGGATCCCTGGGACCCAGGATGGTCCTTCATATGCCAAGCACTCAGTGAATGCTTAATGAATGGAAGAAGGAAGGAAGGGAGGGAGGAAGGAAAGAAGGAAGGGAGGAAGAAGGAAGGAAGGAAGGAAGGAAGGAAGGAAGGAAGGAAGGAAGGAACGAACGAACTCATACTTTGCCCGAGCCAAACTTGGTCACTTATTTTTCCTTGGACATGCGCTATTCCTTTCCTGACCTTGCTCAGGCTATTCCTCTGAAAGGGAACCTCTCTCCGCCCAAATCCACACATGTAAATATCACCTATCCTTCTGTGATATTGTGATTTAGAATAAGAATTGTATATTTGATCTTTGTCTTCATTCCTACCACAGAGCTCCTAAAACTCTTGGAATCTGAAGAGAGTTATAAAAAGTGTCCTTTGTTAGGTTAATGAGACTTATGGAAAGCCTCTAGGTAACCTAAGGATCGGGGCTGATTGCCAGGGGAACCACCTGATTAGAGGGTTGGCACTTTCAGCCCCACCTCAGACTCTGGGGAGAGGAGAGGAGCTGGAGACTGAGTTCAGTCATCAGTGGCCAATGATTTGATCAATCCCGACTATGTAACAAAGCCTCCACAAAACCCGAAAAGGACTGGGCTTGGAGTGTCTCCAGGAAGGTGAATGCGAGGAGACTGAATCTCTTCCATTTGGCTGTTACTGAATTATATCCTTTTATAATAAACCAGTATTCTAGTAAGTAAACTATTTCTGAGTTCTGTGAGTGACTCTAGCAAATTAATAAAACCCAAGAAGGGAGGTCATGGGAACCTCTGATCTACAGTCAGTGGGTTAAAAGCACTGGAAACAAACTGAACTTGCAACTGGTGGCTGAATTGGGGAAGAGTCTTGCAGGACTGAGCCCTTAACCTGTGGGATCTGATGCTATCTCCAGGCAGGCAGTGTCAGACTGAGTTGAATTTTAGGGCACTCAGCTGGCGTTAAGGGAAAATTGCTTGGATGTGTAGGGAAAAAATCCACATGTTGGAATTGGTGTCAGAATCGTACCTTCAAGGGTGAAATGCCATCTTCTGCAAAGGATGCCATCATGTTAGCTAAAATGGACCCCTCTTCTAATATCCCATGGTGCTTTGTTTGTACCTTTAGGGTTATTTCCTCCTGTTACAACTCATATGTGCACATATTACCCCCACCACTAGTCTGTGACCCCATTGAAGGGGGGATCCAGTGCTCACTTCTTTCCGTATATCCTCTATAGGCCCCACCAACCTGCCTCACAAGTAGTGGGCACTCCATAGACGTTGGTGAACTGTTGATTGAATGAACCCTTGATGTGACAATCATTTGAGAAGCCAAATACCACATGAATGTTTTATCTGGTTTCCTTTTCCTCTGCAGTCTTGGTTCTACATACCACTCACTATTCCCACAAACCCAGCATGTGCTCACATTACTGGGCCTTTGCATATGTTTTGCCCTGCTCACTATTTTTCCTCCTTTGTAAGTGGCAGACTCCTTCCCCTGTACAAGGAATCCCCTCAGCCATCACTTCCTCAAAGGCGTCTTCCCCACTGTGAGTAGTCACCCTCTGCATTACTTGTGGCTTGCTGCCCTTGCCCCATTCTAGCACTGCTCAGACTGTCTTGCAGTTCCTACAGTTCTATTTTCTTGTCTGTCTCCTCAACTCACCTGTGAGAAATGTAAGCAAAGACTGGATCTTGTTTATTTCTGTAACCTTGGAATTGGCAAAATATTTGTTATGATAGAGGTATTCAAGATGTATTCACTGGATTAATAACATGCTGTTAATAATTTTATTTTACCTGTCTTCCTGAGTTCCAAAGAAGGCTTTTGTGCAAGGAGACGTGGAACTAGGGGACCCTAAATGTTTGGGAATCCCTGCTTTCTTCACAGTTTGGCTACTCACAGCACCCAATTATCCCAATGACTTCTTGAAAATGACACAAATTACATAAATTCCTTTGTCCCAGGAGTTAATTTTGAAAACCTAGCTCTTATTTAGAGTTGTTCATTCAGATAAGCATTTGTGTGTGTAAGCTTTGCAAAGGCAAGAACCATATTTATTTGACTTACCACTTAACTCCCAAGACCTGGTGCAAAGAAGAGGCTCAACACACATTAAATGAATGAATGACTTCTAGAAGCTGCATCATTGCTTACAGGGCATGAGACTGCCAGTTAGAACCTGTCATGAGTGCCAGAAGAAAATGTCATTGGCTGCCCAGTTTCCAGTGGTCTCTAACTTATACAAGAATCATAAGAAGTTATACGCCTGGATTAAAGTCAGTGATATTAAAAGGGAGGATAATTTGGCCACAGCAGTTAATATTTTATAGCCCTGTAAATAGCACAGTGGAGAAAGAACTGGACTATGAATAAGAAGACAGGAATCCTAATCCCGCCTTTGGCACCTTCCAACTGTATAGCCCTCGGCAACTCGCTGAACCTCTCAGTTTCTTCCTCACTTGGGGAAAGCAGGCGGCAACTAACATTTACTGCTAATTTACAATGTGCCAGCTCCTGTGTGAGCACTTTTCCATATATTTCCTCACTTACTCTGAGGAAATTTGGCTGGGTTCTTTCCCCTCTGAATGCTCACAATTTTATTATTCTCAGCTAATTTAAATCCCGTGCCAAAGGACATAAAGCAATGAAAGATATACATTGAAAACAAAATTAAATGGTTGTTAATTCTTTCTCAAAGATTACATGCATGTTGATTAAATTACGCTTGGAAGAATGTTGATACAGAGATGTTACATGATTTTCTGATAGCCATTGGTAATTTCTGCGATGTTAGAGGCACAGTTGAATGATGGGGGACACCTTTTTGCTCCAAGCTGCTCTATTCCCTGGTTATCAGACTGCAGAATGGTGGGCATTCTCACTTGTAAGTGATTTCTCCATCAGCTGAAGCCAATAAATGCTTTAGGGATGCTTATCTGAATTAACAGCTCTAAACGAAAGCCATATTTTCAAAATTAACTCCTTGGACTAAAGAAATAATAGGTTTTAATTTGAAGCCAAGAAATACAGGCCCAATCAAGCATCTCTCAATGGAACATTTCATGGAAGTGCAAGGAAATCACCTCAACAGAAACTGAGATTTTCACCCTTTGGGTGGTAAAGCTCAGGCAGACAATGAGCTATTTTTGTGCAGAGCAAAGAGCCAAAAGATAAAGGAAATCTTGACTTATGAGAAGTATAGTTCTATGTGGGAGTTCCTTTTCATATAATAAACCACACTATCCAGATGTCTCAAGAAAACCATTCCAAGGACAGAATTATTGCTTAAATGTTACATTTAAGGCAAGGAGTGTTACTCTGAAACCCAAGTCAATGTCCCAGAAAGCAACTTGTGAGCTCCATGAATCTTACAGTTTCAGTTCTTAAGACAAATGAATATGTGGGGGAAATGCTCTCAGATGGTGGACCCATTTTTCTTGTCCTCAGTTTTCTTTCTTTCTTTGAGGGTATTGACTAGGAATAGGTTGGAATGCATTAAATGAACACTCAGTTTTCCAATCTTCCCCTGCTAAGCTGCTTCACTTGTAGCTAAAGCCCATTCAGTTCTCAGCCTGAGCTGGACAGGCAATCTCAATTTCTGGTGAAACTCTAGTGGTGCATGTGCCCTGCCTTGAACTTTGGTTAGGTGATGTTGGTTTCAAGAAAATACTTGAAATCAATAAGAGGATCAATTCTGTACAAATATGGGGATGATTCTGAGAAAGATCATCAGATACAACGATCCTACCCCTGGCGATCTATTCGGTTTGGTGAGTGTGGTTTAGTGTGGACCAAAGGCGATGCAAAGGGCCATGACTTGGAGAGTGGTCTTCAGCCATAGTGTGAGAATGGACTCTGGGTCAGCTCTGTATGTGACAATTGTGGTCTTAGGGTACTCTAGTTCCTGAAGGTTTATGTGTCTCCTCAAGGCTGTGGAAAGACCTGATTTTCAAGAAAGTAGTTTGAGCTGACATAGCCTATTATTCAACACGGTTAGGCCGAATGCCCCCATAGTTACAGAAAAATAATATTCAAGTTGCTTGCTAACACACAGTAACTGAAAACATCCCCTACCCCCTTGCCCTGGAGCCATGCGGTACAATGACCTTGAGTTATGCTAAACTAAAGAAGCCTTTGAAATGTATCCTTGTTAATCTTTCCTCCCCAGTTCCTACCTCCATCATCTCTTGGTCCATGACTTCACTCCAAATATTTTTTTTTTAAATCACTTATTTATTTATTTTGAGAGAGAGAGAGTGGGGGGATGGGCAGAGGCAGAGAGAGAGAGAGAGAGAGTCTCAAGCTGGCTCCACACTCAGCGAGGATCCCAATGCAGGGCTCTATCTCAGGACCCTGAGAACATGACCTGAGTCCAAATCAAGAGTCAGATGCTTAACTGACTGAGCCACCCGGGTGCCCAATTCACTACTAATATTTTAATTCCTGAAAACAGTCTTCTAGCTCATGTCTCTGCCTTTGGGCTCTCTGACCTTCATCCATTCCATAAATTCTTCCTAAATGACCCTCTGTTCAAAAACCTTTAGAGATTTCTTCCCATAACCAAAAAGACTTAATGGGTGTAGTGAATGCAAAGATGTGAGGTAATAAAGGTAGAATATATTGGTCTCTGCTCCCAATTTCTGACACAGAGCTCCTAAAACTCTTGTAACTTCCTAAGTGATAAGAGCATTAGGAGCATCTTTTGTTCTAATGAGGCAACTCTGGGTGGGCTCCTGGGAGGGGCTGGTCAACAGAAGGACCAAGCCATGATTAAGGGCTTGGAATTTTCAGCCCTACCTCCCATCCTCCAGAGAGGGGAGAGGGGCTAAAAGCAGAGGTAATAACTGATCATGTCTATGTGATAAAGCCTCCATAAAATCCCAATAGCATAGGGTTCAGAGAGCTTCTGAGGCTGGTGAACAAACATACCTATCCCGGGAGGGTGATGCCCTCCAATCCCACGGGGACAGAAGCTCCTATGTTCAGAACCCTCCCAGACCTCACCCTAGGTATCTCTTCATCTGGCTGTGCACGTGTGCTTTTATCATGTCCTTTAGTCGACTGGTAAAGGTAAGTAAGTGTTTCTCTGAGTTCCGTGAGCCACTCTGGCAAATTAATTGAACCTGAGGAGGGGCCCTTTGGAAGCTGTGATCTGTAGGCCATAGGTGAGAAGCACGGTGACTGACATCTCAGTGGGGGGTGGTCCTGTGGGATGGAGCCTTTAATCTAGGATCTGACGATATCTCCAGGTAGATAGTGTCAGAACCGAGTTAAATTGTAGGACACCCAGCTGGTATCCAAGACTTGCTTGTTGTTGCCAGAGCAGGGGACCTCCACACATTTGGTGACCAGAGTGTCAGAAACGGAGTGTTTTCTGTTAGGGAGACTCACAGGGAAGAAAAACACAGGAAGAACTGGGTTTTCCCCTACACAGGAAGAAAACAACTGTTTTTCCTTGCAAAGTACACTGCAATGAGAGTCAGGGTATCAGGCTTCAGGTCTGACTCTGCTCTTCACCAGCAGTGGTGTGTTCTTGTGCAAGTCATTTAATCTCCCTAGGCTTTGTCTCCTTGTCCACAGAGTGGGGGCAACAACACCTGTCATACATAGCATTTATGGTGATTCTAACTGAGATAATGGATGTGAAAACTCCAAAGTGTTACACTGTCTGGATTCAGCAAGAGAAATGTAACTATCAATTATAATAGCTCACATTTACAGAGCACCTACGATGTGCTAGATGCTGTTATAAATGCTCTACAAATATCAACTCATTTCATCCTCAGAGCAACTCTATTTTATAGATTGGGAAACTGAGATGTAGAGAAGTTGTACCCAAGTCACATAGTTGTAAAGTGGTAAGATTGGGTTCTGAAGTCAATAGGTATGGCCCCAGAGGCCCTAGTCTGTACAGAAAAAAAGGTGGGTAAAGGGAAGGAATCTCTTCTGAAAAAATAATTTTCCAAATAATTGGTGGTCTTTCTCCAACAATTATTTATTCAAAAATTTATATGTGTGATAAATATTTTTGGAGCATACACTATGTGTCAGGCATTTTGCTACATATTAGAAATTCGAGGAAAAGTAAATTTAATTCTAAAGGGGCCTCAGAGGACATGCAGTCTCTGGTGGTGAGCAGAGACCCACAAACGGTGTGATAAGGTTGGGAGAGTGCTCTGGGGCCACGGAGGGGCACTCAGCCAGGCTTGGTGGGGTCAGGGGAAGCATGCTGGTGAACGTGATACTACAGATGAGCTATAAAAGACAAGTAGGATTTAGCCAGGCAATCACTGGCAGGTGGAGAGATATGTTTTAGGAAGACAGAACAGTGAGTCCATAATTAGGATGGAAAATAGAACATGCAGGGAACAATCAGACCACAGTTGTTAGGATGTGATCCCATGTGGCCAGAGACCTGATCTGATTATTCACCACCATATGCTCTGGCACTTCCTATTTGAACACAAGCTTTGAAAGGGCAGAAAACTTGTCTGTTTTGGTCACTATTATATTACCAGTTCCCAGTAAAAGTGGTGCTCAACAAATATTTGTCAAACACATACATGTATGCATGGATGAATAGTATATACTAAATAAATACTTCTTGGGTGAATCATTTAATAAATGAACAAACAGGGAGGATCACTACAAAAGAGGCTGGGCAAGTCTCTAGGTTCATGTATGCTGCATCAAATATAAACCCAATCAACTATCAATCAACACTAACTTGAACTGGATCATGAGGTGCCTTGGATGCCATTCTATGGTCATTGATTCTAGGACCTGCTGATACCTGTGATGATCTTTTAAAATGCTGGATAGTGAACTGCATAGCACTTAGACTCACAGATTGAAATGATTTTGGAGGAGAAAGTTATGTGGGAATATCGAGTTCAAACCTTTCATTATAAAGATGAGGAGACCAAGGTTCAGCAATGTTCATTGAAATGACCAAGGTTATATAGTTACTGGGGGGTGCGGGGCAAGAGGAGAAGATAACCCCACTCTTACTCATCAAATTGCATGAACCTGTTTATATAGTATAAAAAAAAAAGGCAACGTGGACTTGAACTTTTTGCTACCTTTAATCTTGCATTTGAATCTCTGAGTTCATTAATAGCTATTCCAAAAGAATTTTAGTAGAATTTATGGCTGTTCCTGATAAGTATTCATACTTTCCAAAGTAGTAAATGTAAATGTCAACAAAAATCCTCATTTCGCTATTCCACTTGTTGAGCTCCTACCGTCTACTAAGTGTTAAGGGTACAAAGATTCACAAGATCCAGACTAATTTCTAACATCTTACCAGTTCTAAAATACTCTGGTGCTCCATCCTATTTTCAAATTTCATCGTGTGTCCTAACTTAGTTTGCAGGGCAAAGTTCCATGCAATGGTATTTTTTTTTCTCCCTTTTAATGTGGCTCAATGTTTTTGCCTTTATGGAAGGGATTCATAATTCCACAAAGTCCATGCTTACTTGTTGGACGCTCCATGAAGGTTTGTCAGTAGAGTAAAGTTGTTTCTCACACTCCGCAAGCTGGCGAGGACCTGGAAGGCCAATGATCAGGATGGTTAGGAACGAAGGGAGACGAATGGGCAGGTTCCAGAGGCCACACTTAGAAACTGCACCCAGGGGCAGAGGGAGAGTGAGCCAGGGCCAGCATGATACATACCTGGGCAAAAGGTGTTACAATCAAGTCATCGCCATGTCTGGTGAAAGAGAGAAAAATGAATTTGAATTATAAATAGGACACATAAGCTACAATATTAAACCATATCAGTGTTAGCAACACAAATGTTACACAAGTCCTTCTACCTGGATATAAGGCATGACTGATCTAGGCATAAACGGGAACCTTAGGAATTTGAAAGAACAAAATACCAGGTTCATGGCTCCTGGGCTTATGGTGACACCGAAAAGCACTTGAAAGTAAGCATATATCCTCAGGGTACATTCCCATTAAATAGCAGACCCGGAGTACTGTAATTCAAAGCGACTTAGTTGCCAGAGCCAGGAAATTCAAAGGGAAGGCTGCTCACAAGCACACACAGAGTTGGAAAAAATGGCATAACAGTCTGGATAAAGGTTAACTTTGGATTTCCTGGCTTTTGTTGATTTGAACCACAGCCTTAATGCCATTTAAACACAGATTTCTGTCTGGGAATCCCATTACTTTTTGTTTTTAATATAACTTTTTTTTCTTGAAGTACCCAAGGAAAAGCTTTTAATAGGAGTGTACAGACTGAGCCTACTATTACCATATCACTCTTGCTCATTTTGTCCCAAAGATCTGAGTAAGCTGTACCTAGTGTTATGTAAATCTATACTTAGGAACAATCAAAAGTATGTTTTCAGAAAAGCACTCTCTGGCACATACTTCAATAAATCTACCTAAGCCCACATTCAGCAAGCTCTCCATCAAGTCATTAGAAGACACATTGTCGTAGGCTGCAGACACAAAATCAGGCCAATTTATTATTTGTGAATCGAGACATCTGCACAGAAGTTGGTTGACAACGAATTTCCTTCACTGATTTTCTCTGTTCTCATGATCGCCAAACATATATGGCACCTTATTTGTTTATAATGTGAGTGCAACCAATGATTATTAAGCATCTGCCCTGTATCAGGCATTATAGGGATGTAGAGATGCAGAGCTGAACAATACATACGTCCATGTGGGCCTCTTCTCTAACACGGGCTTTTACTTTCAGGTCTTATTTAATATAATACTTTGCTTTCTACCTTTGTCTTTAGCTGGAAGTCCCCCCTCAAGACACGCTAGTCAAGTTCCTGTGCATCTACTTTGTACAGTGACTATAAAAAGAATACTGACAAGAGCATTCTTTGCACGATCACCCTATGTCAGGTCCTGCACTAAGCACTTTATGTCCATTATCTCATTTAATTCTTGTAACAAGGCTAAAGGCAGGTACCCTTACTATTCCCATTTTAAAGATGATATCTTTAAAGGCTTGGAGAAGGTAAGCTACTGCTTAACGAACACATTGTAAGCAGAAGAGCTAAGATTGTTTGATTCCAAAAATCTGCGCTTTTAACCATTATATTACCTATTTTATGGTGACCCTGCACAGTTGGCATATTGAATTAGACAGAATCTATGACCTCCCCCCACCTCCCCCCTCCAATTACAACACTCTAGGGGAAACAGAAAAAATATTCAAGACACCGCAATGGATACAGAATGAGAAACACAAACCCTTAATGGGGAAGCTTAATGGGGTATAAAGGAGAGGTAATAATTACAAGTTAGAGGAAGTAGGGCAGGCTTGATTGAATGAATGGTTTTGAGATGAACGGTGAAGGGCAGGCTCTAAAGAGCATGAACGGTAGATGCCACCAATGAGAGAAATGGCAGGAACAAAGGCACTGAAGTGGGAAAGTACCGAACATGCTCACTGAGATGCTTGGTGGCTGTCTGGGCGGAGTTGAACACATTAACTAGACATGTTTTTAGAGGACAAGATTTGAAGGTCCCCCACACTCATGGGTGGTATGGACCACGGTTGTGGAGGTAGTGCTTATCTCACAAGGAAGAAAGGAGCTAGTGAAGGTTTTGAGCGAGACAGGCAAGCAGAAAAGTGCTTTAGAAAGTAAAATGCTATGGACACCAAGAGACAGACTGGAGAGAGGACAGAGCCAGGAAGAATGGTTACGGGGATAATGCAGTCATTCAGATGAGAAGACATCAGTGAGGCAGAGGAAGAAACAGGAAAAGACAATTTGAGGAGACCCTAAGTGTCTTGCCAAGGACTCAGCATCTAACCGGCTAAGGGGTCATAACGAAATACTATGTCAGTTTAAAAAATGGGTGTGTGGGAAAATAGTGAAGTCATGAGCAAAAATAAGAAAGTAAGGATAACATGGGGGAGGAGATGTGTCACTTTCCCACAAGCTGAATTTTAAGATCCTCACTGATATCCCAGTGGAGACATCAAGCAGGAAGACTGAAATATGGAACTGGAGCTATACATTTCAGAGTTACCTACCACAGTGGTGAAACTAAAACAATGGCAGGGAGTGGCTTCTGGAGGTGGGGGAATAGAGAGAGAAAGGGAGCCCAAGGTAGAGCCTCAGGGTTCTTGGAAAAAAGTCAAAGGAGAGACAGAAGAAGGCACTGAGTGGAGCAGTTGTGATAAATGCAGGGTAGTGAACTGTACCGAGAGTTGCCCCTTCCCAAGCCATTTTCTTGAGATGAACTTTACATGGTGAAATAGCTTGCTATTTGTTCAGATATCTGCTATGAAGTTCACATTGTTCATAAGGCATCAGGGTGAGTTGGGGATGTAAGGTGATGGAGTTACAAGTTAAATAGGTCATCTAAGGCTCCTGGATTTCAGGTCTAAATACTCAGTAAAAGCTAAACATATAAACAAATCTCATACATATGTAGTACCTGAAGCTGATGAATTGTTGCATGAATGGGGAGTTACTAAAATGGTACAAAGTAACGATTAAAGGGAGGTAAACACTAAGGGGGCACCCTGTCAGCATGACTTTATCATCATGGAACTTCTGGAGTTTAGGAAAGCAGAAAATTCAGAAGCAAGAGATGGACTTGCAGGTCCGCAGCGTTGGTACCCTTAAAGGATTTGAATGGCAAAAGCTCATGTTGTACTTCAGGTAGTAGCTGCTAGAGGAAAGGATCAGACAACTTACAGGTAATTTATGGCAAGTATAGGAAAGAAACAAAATAAAATTCCTATCTGAGTACAGCCAGAATATTTATGAAACTATTCTAAAATTTTTAACCATAATTTCATATATTAATGATTAGAATAAGATGGCATGGAAATAACAAAATTAATTATGATTAATTATGAAAACTGATGGCCTTCTTCGTTTCCCAAACCTCTAGAGAGGGCAATGCCAGATGTTCAGAACCATGGCACGAGCGACATCTAGTGACAAACCCAGAACATTACAATTTTGTAGACTGATCAGTGATGAGAACTTGGTAGGTCTTCAATTGAGTGTAGGTCTGCACTAAACAGTGAAATGCATTTCCAGAAAGCAAAAAGGCTCCTTCCTTCTGCTATATCCTCTGGATTCCATTAATTTTGTCTTTCTCTGTGTCATACCTACACATAGGATTTTACTTGTAACATTGATTTCAGTCTGCCTTACAGAGAGACATATACTATTGCAGTCAAGAGCACAGATTTTGGAGCCATACAGCACTGGTTTGTTTCTGAGTTGTGCAATTACTAGCTATGAGACATTAGATAACCTCCCTAGGCCTCAATTTCTTTATCTATAAAGTGAGGTGTTGTAAGAATGAAATGAGTTATTGCACATGTACAACTCTTACAAGCTTTGGCACATAAAAGCATTTGCTCATGTAGTTATAGTTATTCTTATTAGTAATAGGTATCATTATTATTATAACTAAAGAATTGCATGTCTTATCTTCCCCACTGGTGAGAACTTTTTTGGGAGAGTCATATCTGCCCCTATTGCAGTCAAGAGAACTAATATTGTACTTTACAGTTTACAAAGCATTTTCACATACATTATTTCATGGGACAAGAGAATGTTCTTGACCCGAAAAAAAATGGCTCAACCAGCTTTCTTGTTGGTCAAGCCTGAAACCTCCCCCACAGTCAGCCACCAGACCCTGCTTATGCTAACTTGCAAATATTTACTAATTGCTCACTCGATCTTCTCTAATGTAGTTCCCTACCCTCTATTATGTGGATTACCAAAGCAGTCTTCCATTGGGCTCTTGGACACTAGTCTTTAGGCTTGTCCACTGTATAAACCACTCTTCACTGTAATCAGAACTATCTTTCAAAAGCTAGGTTATGTATTTTCCTGCTTAAAAACCTTTAGTAGCTCCCCACTGATTTCATTCAGCATAAAGACCAACTCCTTCAGATAGGCGCTTCATGATGAGGTTCCTGCTTACTTCTCTAGCCTTGCCTCTCACCACTTCCTCAACCGCTCACATTCTCTGCCTCAGCTCCACTGAGCTGCGCTTCTCCATAATGCTTCTGACAACTAGAGAGTAGTTAGCACGTGGCCCTTCTTCCTGCATAACCCTCTGCCTGGCTAACTCTTCTGGCTTAGCTCTGACTGCTGAAAGTGGGCTACTCGCCTGCCTGGCCAGGCCTTTCAAAGTCCTCTGCATACCTTTCTGTGACTGTCCTTATTCAAAGATATCAAAATTGCCTATAGACTTAACTCACCCTTTAGCTCCCTTGAAGACACAGAAATGTCTTATTTGTTAGCAAGTGCCTAAATTTAAGCTTTTGTTAGAAGAAAGAATGAATAGGAAGGTAGGCAGAGCAGAGATTAATATCATTATTTTTATTTTTCATCTTCATTTTGAGTCTGTATTTATACTAAATATCCATATGATTTAATCATCCACACTCCCTAGACTTAAGCCTTGGTTCCCCATTTATTAGGCACATTACTTCTCTTCTGTAAGCATCAATGTCTTTGTCTTTAAGACAAGAAAATTATAGTACCAACTCAAGTAAGATTATGGGAATTAAATGAATTAACAGGTGTACTTTAAATAGACCCTAGCACACAGAAAATGTACTTTTATTTTATGTGCACTTTTATTTACAGATAATTTAGACACTGTAAAGGAGATTCAACGCCAAAGTCATGATGCTAGTAAGTGTGATGGCTGTAGGTCTAACTCAAGTCTTAAATACCACATTGTGCTTTTTTGGTAGCCCATTAATAAACTGGTCTTAAATTTAAGTGAGCAGTTATTAATGCTTTCCCTCTTCATTCTTAGGTCTTAGTTCCCTTGAGTACCCTCTCTAGAGACCATTTAGTTCTCACACAAATGGTAGCTTTAAAGAGCTCTTTGCCTATGTAAGGCTTTGCAAATGTGGTGACCAAATGAAGGAAATATGGATCTTCCTTCCCTGTGGATTTGCAGGTGGATTGTCAGAACTCCATCCTGTTCAGGGTGGTTCCTGCCACAGTTTTGAACAACGTAACTGGTCTTACCAGTTTCCAGTACTTTATGTTCCCATTGGGAAATCTGTACCTCGGTGTACAAAGGCATTACATTAGAGATGACTACAACACAGGAACAAAAGAGAAATCAGCAGAGTATTGCCACATCTAGGAAAGCATCAGAAATTTCCTCAGGGGACCCAATGATGATCTTGTTTTCTTTACTAGAGAGCCTTATTTCAGTCTCTCTTTTGTTGCTAAAAGTTAAAGGCCATTTTCCATTCACATTTTTACTCCTAATATCTTCTCACTCATTCTCCCTGCCTATGTTTCCTCTTACTCTTCTGAAAGTGTTCAGATGAGAAATGTGGAAAAGCTAGCGTTGTCTCTACCCTGGGGTTTAATACAGACAGAGGAATTGCACAAGTTTTCCTACATAAATCCATGATGGCGCTGTGCTGAATATGAGGAGCTCCCGAGCAGGGAGCATCCCATAGCCCCCACCCAATGATCTTCACATCAAGACTCTAGACCTATGATTGTCCTTCTTTCTCTTGGCTCCATAGGTAGAAGGTAAGAAAAGCAGTAAGAGGCTTGGGGGTTGCTGTTCCTCTATTCATTTCAATTCACTCTGAAGAGTAATAATCAGGTGAAATACTTTTTTTTAAAGATTTTATTTATTTATTTGACAGAGAGAGAGAGACACAGCGAGAGAGGGAACACAAGCAGGGGGAGTGGGAGAGGGAGAAGCAGGCTTCCCGCTGAGCAAGGAGCCTGATGTGGGGCCCGATCCCAAGACCCCGGGATCATGACCCGAGCCTAAGGCAGACGCCGAACGACTGAGCCACCCAGGCTCCCCCAGGTGAAATACTTTTGAGAGCATTACTTCAGTGTAGTTCAAAGCTACTTGTGTGAAACTGGACTTTCTAACACAGTCCGGATAAAATGAAATACTGGAAAAATATGGATATTATTCAAGCTCCTCTTCCTAAACTGAGAGATATGTAAAAGTTTTACTGTAATGTTGAAACATTTGCAAAATAAAAAATTGTGCCATTTTTATTCACTCAAAGATTTTAATAGATTCTATTATCAGTATCTTTGATAAGGTGATCTTATGTTGCCCACTGTGTTTTCTTGGGAAGGGCTATTCTTTATTATGGAAGAGTGTCCTTTCTAAATTTTTTTTCCTTTTAATTCTAAGAAGTATTAAAAAAACAAACAAACAGTGAGGGCGCCTGGGTGGCTCAGTTGGTTAAGCGACTGCCTTCGGCTCAGGTCATGATCCTGGAGTCCCAGGATCGAGTCCCACATCGGGCTCCCTGCTCAGTGGGGAGTCTGCTTCTCCCTCTGACCCTCCCCCATCTCATGCTCTCTATCTCATTCTCTCTCTCAAATAAATAAATAAAATCTTTAAAAAAAAACAGTGAGAATGATACTAGACAGCTTACATATACAATTCTTATTTGCCTAAATCTAAAGTTGGCAACACTATGTAGGTTCTAAGTTAGGGGGAAAATTTTGCCGGTTGGTAAAATTGAAAAGAGGATAAACGGTGACTATTAGGGACCCTACATGCAGAGTTATTCAGAATTAGATGTCTCTTTTTAGAGCTGTAGAATGAGTTGGACTGTAATCTCTAAGGTCTCCTCAAGTTCAAAATTTTCATAATCTTTGGTTCTTAAAAAAAATCATCAGAGTTTAATCTGAAATTCAGTTGGAACCTTCTGGGAAGCCTCAGAATGACCCTGAGACTCATCATGCTGTTTGGCTAGAGTTTGGGGAACTGTGAGCTGCCTTCCAAAGCTAGTCTTTTACCCGTCAAACGCTATGTGAATGAAGCTCTAATTACTTTCGGCTCACCCCGTTTCCTATGCTCTCCACCTACGACATCTAGAGAGGTGTTTCTCTTGGTAGAAGAGGAAATTCCAGGTAGACTCAGCCAAGCCCCCATGCCAACCTTGGTCAAAAACATCCTTGGTTCTACATGATCTGCAGCAAAGTGGTTACCTCTCCTCCAGCCTCAGGCACCTTGACTCTGCACTCATCTGTTTTCTACCTGGTGGTAGAGATTTTACTTTGCAGTTTGAAGAACAAAGGCAAGTAGAATCGAAAAGGTTTGAATATGGTCAGTCTTAGCTACATCATGGGATATAGCATGGCATACAGTCATGGGATGGGGCAGCTCTCAGAGGCTTACTTTCATTATCGATACAGTGGAGGTAATAGTGGTACCTACCTGACAGGACTGCTGTGAAGATTAAAAGAAATAACATGTGTCTCAGGGCCGCCGGCCCTGTGGTAAGCACTCATTAAATGTTTCCTTCCACTCCATAGTAGAGTGATGTGGGTGTCCCTCCTACCTTTCTTATTAACTATAGCCTCCCTGAGAGCATGCAACCTTTCTGAGAATATCTGTTTTTAACTCATTTGTGATTTTTCCACTGTTTTGTTAATCTTTTATCCCCAGAACCTAGCACACTGCATGGCACATAGGAGAGATTCAGGAAGTATTTGCCAGATCAATGAATACATGAATTTTGGCCCATCCAATGACTGAGACATTTTAGGCCAGGGGTGCAGCTGTTAGAATTTGTTGGCAGAAATGCCCTGGGGAATCCTTTCTCACTGGTAGCTTTTAAAATGTCCCCTGCCCTCTTTCATAAGAGAGTGACCCTCTTTAGCTTCTTTCCCAACAGCACAAGAGAGCCCAGTGGAAATTTCCAGGCCAGAGACTTTAGAGAGCTACCAATATTTTTATAACATACAATGTTAAAAACAATTGTACGTGTGCCCAGAAATCTTTTAAGGCATGAATTCCGGCATCCAACTTTATTTGGTTTCAGAAATTTAATACACGAGTAATACAACCCCGTCATTGTTCTTTAAAAATTAGAGATCTACAATTAATAGCAGCAAAACAAAAACATCCGCTGTGGTGGAGAGTGTTGTGTCTCACCAAGGAGCCAGGCACCAAGTGAGCACTGAGTTAAGATTCCAGAGAAGGGACACAGACATGTGGCTGGATGACAACTTATTAAATGTCACCAAGCAAAGACCACTGAGAAAGGAGGCGTGTCCCCAACTACTGTTTTCTTTTTCACCGTAGCCTCATGCACACTGTAACATGCTGTGGAAAATTCAAGTATGATTTGCAAAAAGTGTTGACGTTCTCAACCCATAAATGATTCAACAGTTCAGGAAATGAAGCTGAACGACAATTTTTTTTTATAAAAAGGATCAATAACAGACGAAAACTGTACACCGTGCCTGAGATTTTTATACCCTTGGAAAGCCCAGCGACATATTTCTCATGCTGTAGAGCACTAATGCCTTTTAAGGATCATCATCATCACCTCTGCTCATGTTCACTTTTCTCCTCCCTCCTTCCCACGGGTTAAAGGGGGAACAGTTGTTGTTGCTGCTGTGACAGGTTAAAGGTGAGGTAAGTGTGAGACGGGGGCCACCCGGGGCTCATACTTACTGCTCGCTTGGAAGTGAAGAGTTTCGTGACATCGCCTTTGGTGACAAGTCATAGTCGCTGTCTGATCTGTAGAGAAAGGACTCTCTGCGCTGGCTGTGCCCAGGAAAGGTGGCGTGGAGCACCAACCCAGAGGAAGAGCTGGCCTGGGGGTCCAGGGGGCTCCGACCTGGGCAGGGGCCATTTTCCACATCAAAGCTTAAGAGAAAGCAAAAAACGCTGGTCACATAAGCATGGGGAGGACATCGGACACACATACATGGAGAACAAATGTGTGCCAGGCATCTTACATAAAACTTTACACTGTACGAATATTTTCATCTTCCAGACAGCTCTGAGTTGTAGTCATTATTATTCTCATGGTGTACGAAGGAAACAGTCCCACAGAAGTCCAGTCTTTAGTGAATAGTGGAGGCAGGATGTGAACCCTGGAACAAAGCCCCATGGCCTTTCAGGGGCAAGAGCAACTTGGACAAATTCAGAATAAGAGCCAACCATAAAGTCATTTGGTGATAATAAGCAACTCCAGAGATAGCATCCAACACAGCTCTAGGTGTCAGACGCTAAACCATCACTTAAATCAGTCTCCGTAGCTGGGAGGCTTCTTCCTGCCATAAATAAACATCACGATCTCATTAAAGATACAATATGCATACTTCTCAATGTTTCAGGAACAAAGTGCTATCCTGAAAACATTCACTGGCTGTTTAGATGGGAGGCCCAGTCTGAGACTTAATATTCATATGCAAGTTTAACCACAGAAAATGATTTAATTAACCTGATAATGTCAAATTACCCTCCAGGTATGCAGAGGCTTTATCCCTGGAGGAGGGTCTAGCCACTGGCTCCAGCATAGGAGAGCCATTAGGGTTTCCAGTCAGTGGGCTCACCCTAGGAAGGTACCCTCAAGCCCAGATTAGTCGAACAAGCTCTGGTCAATGAACACACTGATGGGAGCAGTGGAGATCTGGTCTCTGGTCCTCTCTCTTCCTATCCTGGTATCAGTGAGGCACTGTGTCCTTCCCATGCTCTCCATCACCCCCTATGCATTTTCCTCGTGGGCACTACCTCCCTTTGCTTTAACCTGCCAGGAACCCTCTGGCCTACCATTTCTCTAGACCACTCACCGGTCTCCAGCTACAGCTCTGCAGAGAGGTACTGAAGAAGGTAAGCTGGGAGTGTTCTCTCCTTCGAGTTAGACCACAAGAGAGGGCTTCCTTCACACTCATCCAGCTGCCATCATTTATCTCTATACTCATGATCTCTTCTTTCACTAGTGCTTACAACCTGCTGTCTTGGGGTGAGTTTTGCTTATATTTCTCCAGTTTACAAATTGCTTTCTGATCTATATGATTCCACTTACCCCTCATTACAACCCTGTGAAGTATATAGTATGACCACACTCTACAGTTGAGGAAAATGAGGCTTAGAGAGATTTTAAATACTTGTTCAAGGTTACATGCGTAGGATGAGTACTGGAAGACCCAAGTCTTCCAACTCCTTTCTCTACCACCCCAGGCTTCTCTAATCACAGCGTATCAGAATGGCTTGCTGGCTAGCTGAGGACAGTTTTTCTTCTGAATTCAAACAAAATTTGTGTTTGGTATGTAGAGAGTCAGTAAGATTATGAGCAGCCTTGACTGTTATCTTGAATGAGGACAGGAGAAGCAGCAAATTACCCTGAAGCTGTAGGTTTCTTTGAGACAGGAAACAAGAAATAACAGAATGCAGGGTTATAATGCTTCCCTGGAGGCCATTCTGAGAAGCTGCTTTTAGCTCACCTACAAACACCAGGTGTCTGATAAGAAGCAGCGGGTAAGAATCTCTGGTTAAAAGGACAAGGAAGAGCCATAACAATCCAGTATGTATTTGGACTTTCAAGGCACCAGTGCATGGATTTTCACAGCAGGCTAATGGTCTGGGATGGGGCTGCCGTTCAAAGACTGCAGGCAGGCAGGCAGGTGGGCAAATCACTCACACCCGCTTGTTTCTCCGCCTGCCTAGAGATAGATCTATGCTGTAAGCCAACTACATTGCAGTGAGTGAAACTATAACGAAAGCTGAATGGCAAACTTTCCTCGGGGGAGATCTATACTAGTTGTTGGGCAAAATAAAGAGCTCCTTTGTGGAGAAGGGCTCCTTTGTGCCACCCAGATCCTGTACAACCGGTAGGTCCTGACGTTGGCTCTGAACTCTTCTTAAGGACAAAGAGGGAAGTTCTTAAAAGGTGAATGTGGCCCTACATAAAGCTTAAGAGTGGGCATGAGCTTTGAAGTTTCATGTGCACTCATGTTATTCATTTGGGATGTATCTGTTCAGCCTTGATGGATATTAAAACACTGAAATACTTTTGTAACGGTTGGCAGCCAGCCGTTGCCCCAGGCCCTCCAGAATTTGCTGGTCTCCCCCGTGATGCAGTAACTAAAGGGTTGGTGTCTGGAACAGCAGGGGTCTCTAGCTTTAGCCCTGTGGCCTGAGTCCATTTAATTGGTCAGCGCCCATGCAGTAGCAGTCATTAGACATTATGAATGCGTGTTCCTGTGCTAAAATATTAGACAGGCACCAAGTGGGTACGCCGACCAAAGTCTTAAAACTTTTTCCACTGAGAGTTTCCACCAGGCCTCACTCTGCCCTATGTTCTGCTAGCGGTATTCCTCGTGGGCAGAAAGTTTAAGTCCACAAGGCATTACCCTAAAAGTGGATGTCACAGGCATTCTGTCCCCAGGGTTTGAATATAAGAAGCTTGGTCCTACCTGGTAAGCAGGGACTAGATCCAGACACCAAAACTCTCTCCGTGCTGTTCCCTTTTGTTTTTGTTTTGTTTTGTTTTTCTCTATTCTTTACCATGCCTAAACTCCTAGAAGAGCTTGCTGGAATTCAGAAGAAGCCAGGGAAGAATTCTGGTGCAAAGAAGCAGTCTCAGTGAGACAAACGGCCTTTCATATTCCCTGGGGCACTGTTTCAAAGCAACCAACACAGATGTACAACTTAGGAACAAACATGAATCACCAACCAGACACCAGCCCCAGTCACAGCAAAATTAGCGGGCAGACATCACAATACATCCCGCAGATCCAGGGTGGGAGGAGGGGTGTGGGCAAGGGGAAGATTGAGGACAGACTTAACAAGCAAAATGAATAGACCACACAAACTGAAACACAATTAGGGAGAAAATGGAATCTGAAATATCAGAAACAAACACATAAATGGGGATAATTCATTTAGGATGAATTATGTGGGATAAATTTTTTGCGCCTGCCTTAATCAGGACACACATTTCACCTTTAGGCTTCTTTGTATTAAAAAAATCATTATAATAGTTTTATATATTATATAAAACATAGACAATAGAGGAAAAAATACCACTTTTATTAGTTTAGTATGTTTCCTTCTGCAAATTTTTTCCTGTAGGCTCGGATCATGATTTTTTTGTACAAGTATTTTCCTGTACTGCTGTTTCTGAAATTATCATTTTCCAGGTCCTGGCACTTAATGGTTCACCCAGACACAGTACCATACTTTCTTAAACATTTTCTTTACTGTTGGCATTGCACTTATGATCTTAAATAACATTATAGTTGATATCTTTGAACCTGCAGCTACTGTAATATTTAGATGGGGTCACTCAGATGTTTCAGAGAGATTAAGAGAGGATGTCACTCGTGAGTTTCTGAATATTTCACTGTACTTCCCTGGAAGGGATTGTCCATATCCAGCATGTGGACACAAACAGTATTGCCTTTTCTCTAGGTTCGGAGAAAGTCCCAGAAATGGCTCTCTCCTGTCCAGGATTCTGCATGCTGCCCTCCCTCATGATTCTGCCTGCTTCTCCCTGCCTGGACCAATCGCTCTGGGCTGAATCAATGGCTCCTTGCCTAAGACTGAATATTTCAGCAACGTTCTCCTGCTTTGTATCTAGAGTCTCGGCTTCTTGAGGCCATGGTGGTAGCAGGTGACCCTGGGGGTAAGAAGCGGTGCTCCCGGAAAAGGGAAGGCCCTTCCCGTCATCTCCATTAAGCCACTACCTTCAAACTTCAGCCCAGGGCACCTCTGCCAGGAAGTCTTCTCTGACAGTGGCAGCTCAGAGTTTGGTGTAAACACATGTTCCTCCTCTGTGCTCCCCTCAGCATCTTGACTGCAATACTTGATCACAGCACGTGCACCTCTCTGCTTAATTCTCTGTTTAGCTGATTCCCACTAGATTCTTATGTCCCAGTGAGAAGGGACCCGATATACCACTCACTTTTGCATCCCAGGCATCTGGGTCAGAGCCTTGTAAATAACAGATCCTCAAAAAAATGTTGGCCGCGCTGATTAAAAGAATACTGCAATTTACTGTGAAATGTTTCTCCTCTCCCTTCCCTCTTCCTGCCTGCTTACTCTCCTCTCAGTTCCCACCGGCATGGGCTGTTGTTTCTTTCAAATGAGTCTATAGAGATGTGGCAGCGCCTTATTTGATCAGCCTTATAAGGCGATGATCTAAGAATACAAGGAAAATGAAAGGAAATAAAACAAAGCAAAAGAAAACGAACTTAGACACACGGCTGTGTTCTCCCTGAACGAACCAATCTTGCATGGAAAACACACTGCCTTAGATATTTGAGATGGTGACCTCTTTACACAAACCCCATCATGGGAAAAGCCCTTCTATGCCCCTTTGTTTGCCCTCTTCAAATCTCCTTCTTTTTTAATAAAAGCGAGAAACTTCTCTGCTCCACACTTTCTCTGCTGGAGGTTTCCATTCCCGAAGAATGCATGCAAAGCCAGCGCCAAAGTGGTGCAAAGAGGGAGCCAGCAGATGGCAGAAGACGGCTTCAGCTTCCTCCCGAGGAGGCACCTCCCAGCCTCCAGCCGGAGCAGGTGGGGCTGCGTGCCAGTCTCGGAGGGAGAAATGTGACTGAGGCCTTATTCATAAGCCTAGGAGGAAAAATCAGGGATAAAGAACAGAACCACAAGGTATACATGAAACCTTTTATTAAACTAAGAGAAGCTCTATTTCAAAGAATTCAAGCTAAGCCAGGTGATTGCAAGAATTGCCTGCAATTATTTCCAGGGCTGTTGCTTCCTGACCCCCAATTACCTGCGCACACCCCAATTTCTGTAGCAAAAACTCACGAAGCGACCTCCTAGGAATAATTCGTTTCTGAATCAGAGGAGACTTTTTCAACTCAGCCCTTCTCAAGGGGAGTCTCTGGCTT